CTCTCAATCCTTTGAAGATACCTAAAGATAATTCTTTTGAATTCCTTATCAGAGAGTTCCAATGCCGTTTCTTCCTCAGGGTTGTGTTCTGAGTCTGTATCCTGTTTCCTTGTTTCTACCACTTTATCTTGGTTCTTTGTGTGGACTGTGATGGCCTATTGTTTCCGAGGCATCGTGGTGTTGTTGTATTTAGATCTCTGTTAACTGTTTGTGAAGAGCAGCCAAGGGTAATTCAGGCTCTTCTTCGTGGTTTTTTATTGTTGGTCTGGTGGTGGAGAAGGAGGTAGTGACTCTCGTTCAGTAAGTGAAGTTGCAGGAGGTGTGGGTGTAGTTGTGTCTTATGTGGACTGTTTTTGGAGAGACTGCAACTTAAGTAGATCATTGAGTCATCATACGTTTCATTTAAAGCTAAAATACATAGACTTTGGGAGCCATACTAAGAGTTGACTTTGAAGCATTTTCTTTTTCGGGTCAGAAGGCAGGAGCCTATAATTTTGGTTTTAGTAAAACTTTCCCTAGATGGAATTGCTATTTTCCATGTCAGTCATCTTGGAACATGTCAATGCTGCGGACAAGCTGAAGACTCAAATAGTATGATTCAGCTTATTCAGAGTGAAATGCTTTGTCTATTAGGGGCATTAAAACTATCGTGGCAAAAAACTATCTGTATATCCCTTTGATTAGGGGAGTTGATAAGCTTTCTCTGTGCAGGGGGGTGCAGTTTGGGACCTGTAAATGATATGACTGAAAGAGATCTTTTAGGCAGTTTTGGATTTTAACCTGTGAAACAAAGCACAAAATTCAGTATTTGGACATTACCCTTGATACAAAGTTCTCATTTAGTTTCACATGTCGTCTGGAGATAGTGGGGGGAATGTCTCTTGTTATGCTTAAAGAGGAGTACAGAAGAAAGACTCAACCATGGGAATGATGCCTACTTAATGCAGGAGATGGTATAATAAATGCTTACAACTACAAACATGTTTTTTATACAACTAGTTCACTGTCTTCATGCAACAGCTGTGGATTCTGAGATTAAGTGAGGTTACTACTATTTTTCCAATCATATTTTCTTGTTTTTGGTCTTGTAAGTCCCAGAACACTGAACTTGTAGCTCTCTTTCTCAGCCTTTCTCATGTTATCAAGTCATTTACTGCACTTGCAAGTACCTCATTCCTTTCCATTCCCTTCTCATTAGAAGAAAGCAACCTAGGATTTTATTGGTTTGTATTTTACGTAACTGCAATATGAGTTATTGAGTGATATCAAATCCAATGAATCTTTGTACAATTGAGGCCTAATAAAGTTCTTGGACCAGAGAAATTGCTCATACAATCTTTGTCTAATTAATAAAACAATTAAGTGTTGAGATAGGTCTTAGTATATTTCAGTGTTATTACTGAAATGTCTTCTGATCCTGAGACATATTAGCCCACAAGAATAGAGCCACTTAAAAAATCATACATTGTGCTATTTTGAATCCAAAAGATGAAACTACAGGCACAATATTTGTGTAAAAACATTGAGGAAAGAATTTATATGATGACTACTTCTCCTAAACCCAGAAAAATCCATTGTTTCACATGTAAGCAATTCCTGCAAGAACCTTGTCCTTTAAAGACATGCCCTTTAATAACAAACAGGCCATGCCTAATAGAATAGAGGAGAAGGAGAAGAAAGACTGTGCCCTGGTTGAAGATAATTGATAAGACTTACAAACTCTGGGCACTTTCCATCATTCAGGGCTGCCATTTAAAACACTGTGGCTGTTTCATGACTGCATTATGTCACTGGGTTAATAACAATACTAATATTAATAATTTGTTCACAATAAAGGCCATATTTATATACACACAATAATATTTTTAAAAATTTAATGTTAAGAGATAGTAAAGAAATACTAGCTGAGATACATTTCACCACTATAGAACTTATTCTAAGTTTTCACCTTTTGGATAAATGAAATCACAGAGATTAGAAAAATTAAAACCAGCAGAAATTCTAGATTGGGAAGAGGGACAGTATTTGAAGAGGAGAGATACAGTTAAGAAATTATTTTAGAATTAAATTTGCTTTTCTCCTTATAATTATATCTCTGAGCTATGAATTTAAATCCAATTTCTCATTACTGAATCATATATCATTGTATCTGAGAATTCAGGAATCAAGTTCTTGTTTTCTTTATTACCACCCTTTTTTCAGTAATCTTAGAATTCCTTGCTTGATCTCTTGGGTTCGTACCCCATAAACAATAGGGTTGAGGGCTGCAGGGATGACATGGTGTAGGACATTGAGCAAAACTGGCACATCAGGAGAGACCTTCTTCTTAGCCACATGAGTGAGGACAAAGACGAGGAGGATGGTACTGAAGAAGAGGATAAGGATGAAGTGGGAGCCACATGTGCTTAGGGCCTTGGCCACAGCACCCTCTGCCTTGAGTCTCAGCACAGCTCTCAGTATGAGGGTGTAGGAGAGAAAGATAAGGATGAGGTCAGATCCTAGTATGGTCCAACCTCCAACAAACTGGAGGAGGCGATTGATGGTGACATCATCACAGGAGAGCCGCGAGACAGACATATTGGCACAGATGCAGTTCTCAATGACATTTTTCCCACAGTAATGGAGACGGGCAGAGAGGATGGGAACAGAAACAGTAATAAGGGCATTTCTGGCCAAAATAAAAATGGCTGCCTTGGCTACAAATTGGTCAGTGATGATGGATGGGTAGCGCAATGGGTGGCAGATAGCCACATAGCGGTCATAGGCCATGACCATGAATGTACAGGACTCCATACCCAGGAAGCAATTCATGATATACATCTGAAGAAAGCAGGCAAAGAAGCTGATAGACCTGAGGTCAAACCAGAAGATGGCCAAGACCTTGGGGATGACAGTGAGACAGAGCACAATGTCCAGTAGGGAGAGGAGACTGAGCAGATAATACATGGGTTGGTGTAGAGAAGCCTCCATCCTGATGGTGATGAGAAGAATAGCATTAGCCCCCATGGCCAGGAGGAAGAGGAAGCTGAGGGGCAGGGAGAGCCAGAGCTGCCATCTGTGGGACCTGACAAAACAATTCAGGAGGAATTCTGAAACCCCAGAGGAGTTGGAACCACTTCTGTAAGATTTCATTTTGAGGAGTTTGGGCAGGTTTTCTTTTGTGATCTGAAAAGTTAGAATTAAAATTACCATCTGACTTTATACACAGGGAGAAAAATTCAGCTTAATTTGATTCAGTCTACAGTTTCAAGCAGGTTATTCTGTATTAACTGGAGATTGTATGTGTTATATACCAAAAATCCATTTGAATTTTTTTGAAAATCCTCTTTTTGAATAAGAATGTTTCTGAATATTTCTTATTTTTTAAAGATACCATCTTATAAAGTGCAAAGGGCAATTTTAATTAGTTCTGAGACTGTGAGCCTTGCCATTGAGGAGTGTGATAAAACAGGCCCACAGATTTCAACAGTGTGGAAGCGGTGAAGTGGATCTTCAATGGGTCCTCTTTGCATCCCTTTCCCACTTGTAGATAATGTCCTCCACACCAGTACCAGATACTGTTCAGTGCTGTCATTCTTTATGTTCTACTCACCTTAGATACTAGACATTGTGCAAAGCACTTAGGAGACAAAGAATGTAAGTTCTGTCTCAGCTCTCGAGGAAGTGACAATCCTCTAATGGGAATGGAGATGTAGAAGTATAACACAAAATGGTAAGAGCAGCGACAGTCATTGTAGAATATTTCGAGAGTAGAAATGAGGATTACCCATTGCTGTTGATTTGATTCAGAATCATAGTGACTCTATAGGATAGAATACAACTTCCCCATAGGATTTCCAAGGTTGTAAATCTTTATGGAAGCAGACTGCCACAACTTTCTCCCACAGAGGGGCTGGTGGATTCAAACTGCTGAACTTTCAGTTAGCATCTGAGCACTTTAACCACTGCACAACCAAATCTGCTTCTTAGTTGAGGATTAAGTTCCTTCACATGAAAATAAAGTATTTCCAGGAATTCTCTCCTTGATCAGCTTTAAAGGCAGGTCCCACAAAAGGCTAAGAAAAATTAGTGACAGAGAGATGTTTGCTAAATATTTGGGGTCAGGCTTTCTGAAATCTTTCACATCATGCTGTGTTTGTCCCCTAACTCTGTCCCCATTGCTCTGCTTAAGTATCGTCCAAAGAATGGAATTTACTCTCTTTTACCAGTATTTAGAATTGACTGTTTCACATCCATTTAGCTAGCTGATTAAATATAAAAATGCTTATAGTCACATCCAACTCAATGGCAGTGAGTGTGGAGGCAAAAGCAGTTTGAAGATATACAGGAGAAGTTTAGATGATCTCCCAGATTCTATAATTCAGAATGAAAAAACAAAAAACAACAAATTGTTCCTCATGGCGAGCTCATGTGTGTTCAAGTGGAACTATGCTCCGTAGCTTTTTTAAAGGCTGACTTTTTGGAAGTGGATTTCCAGCCTCTCTTCTGAGGTGCTTTGGGGTGAACTTGAACTTCCAAACTTTCAAGTTAGTAGCCCAGCCTTTTCGCATCTCGAAGAAGTCCTTCCCCCTGTACCCAGCCCTATGATCTTTGTTTGCATCCACCCTTAGCAAACTGCAAATTTCAAACTGTCAGATTCTGACACTACTTCCTTTTATCAGTTCTTGTCATTTGCATTTTATCAGTTCTTCCTCTGCTTATACCTTATCAACATCATTGAGTTTCCCTCATAGAAAACAATTCTCACCTTTGTCAAGCTGGATTAAGGATCCTGCCTGATTTCTTGAGGATCCAGCCACATGAGAACACCTCTGCTGCAGGAAAGAAGATCCATACAGAAACCTAGGAAGCAGAATATTTTTTCATTTTTGGGCAGCTTCAGAAAGATTATTTCCAGTACCAGAACAGAATTTTTAGGGAGCACATGGTAAGAATTTTCTCTTATTTATTTTTTTCTCTTGCTTGTTTTTTCTTCAACTATTTATTCAACAACTATTGAGTACCTTCCCAGCTTTAGAGTTAAGTTGTTTTACTATACAGTTATCTATTATTTTCTTTTTTCAATCTTCATATGCAATCAGAGCCTCCAAAGTAGTAGGACTGAGTCCTTACTGCTAATTATTTCCTGCCCCATCAGGATCTTGATGAGAAATGCAGAGGAGTTGGGGCCAGAGACCAATGCAAGGGAACCAAGCCAAGTCCTTCACCTAGGCTGCAGGATAATATAGCTGTGTTCCAGCAACCTAGAAACACAGATTATGAATTTTGGAGAGGATATTAAGGGTTTCTAGTTCAATGGTAGGGAGCTCTGGTGGCTGAGCGGTTAAGGCATTTGGCTGCTAACCAAATGGTCAGTGTTTGAACCCACCAGCCACTCCATGGGAAAATTTACATCTTTGAAAACACTATGGGACAATTCCACTCTATCCTAAAGTATTGCTATGAGTCAGAATCGACTCAGTGGCATTTAGGTTTCTGATATTCATATAAGCTTGTAAAATACTTCTATCGGTTTATCATTCAAATTTGTATTGACTTAATTTGGAGGTAGATGGAAATTGCTTTTTTCTGGTGGACTTTTTTAGTAATAGCATTTCAACTTTAGACATTCATTAGGTTCAGGTGAGATATGTTATTCTACCTCTCCTCACACAAATTCCCTCGAAATCTATATTTATACACATATTTTCTCTTCTAGGGCTTTTAGGTTTCCAGACACTCAAGTCCTTCAACTGAGTCCCACTTTCCAGCTGTCCCAATAATTACTTGCCATGGCAGACTCCTGTTTATCTACTTCCCTGATCCATCAAGCTCTCAGAAGAGGCTAAGCAGTTAAGCGAGATCCACTTGTCACACAGGATGCAGTCTCTAATACCTCTGCTCATACTACTCAAGCACCCCTCACTCACAAAAGGATAGGGGAGCACGTCTGGGCTGAAGACATAGTGTGCATATGAATTCTGGCTAATTTTGATGCCCCTGTTTCTCTGGTTCCTCTCCAGATTTTCCTCCCCAGACTCACATTGAGAAAATGTGGTAACATTGGATCTGTTTTCATTGATGTTAGGGCTCTAACCAGGTACCAATATAGCTGTGACTGTTCTAACCTCTTTGGCCTCAGGGACACTTCCCTTGGGGAATCTACCCACTCCTGTCCCCTTGGGAGGGAGGAGCATATTAAGAACAGCAAGCCCACAAGGTCCTCGTAGGACAGACAGATATGGTTAGGGAAGAAAATGGTTGTGTCTTAGCCTTAAAGAGCCTCTTGGGGCCCAACCTTATGAGATGATACACTGTTTTTGTGATCTGCAAGCAGTGACTATTTTCCCTGGACATTGGGGACCTACTTATACTCCTACGTAATCTCAACCATACTTGTGTATATACACTCAGCCCCCTGCAAGGATGTAAAGATTTACTCACAAGTTTTTGTGGCTTTCAGGCACTTGGTCAGTGGAGGATAGTTGTTGCCCATCCATGCTGTTGAATGGATAGATGATGACTTATGACCTTAACTTTACTTATAGTGATAAAAGTGTAATGAAACAAAATAAAACAAAAATATAAACCTATTGAGACATGAATTTTTTTTTCCACAGATGATATTCATATGAAGGTATTTTTTTGCTCCAATGAAAATTTAGAAAATGTGATTTAATTTGAACTTGACAGTTGTTATGGGAAATGGTTTGTTCATTTATTTTTTCATTTTCCTTTTGTTGAGAGTTGAGGTATTCACACTCCTCATATCATGGTATACTAATATCATGACCGTTCTTTAGCTTTACTCTAACAGTTTTATTTATTGATATTAATAATGAAGTATTGTTATTATTTTACTTCTGTCCCTCAGTCTCATTTTCTATCTCCTCCCCCACCAAAAGGCACACATTTACTTTATTTAATAGTTTCCTAATTTGCTTTTAATTACTTATCTATAATAAAGAGTTGATCTAAATGTGAGTGTTTAATTTTTAGAAATGGTTTATATTATTAATATCATTTTGTTTTTAGCTTTTATTGTAATGAAATTTATTAAACTTTCACTTGGGAAAAACATCTCTGCAGCTTATCAGGCTCAGCATCAGGTCCCCAAACCAGCTCACCTTCTCTAACAAGGAGTTTCACTTACTTGACTGTAAGTGGTGGGGATTAGTAGAGGTATCCTTCTTGATTTCCCAATGGTTTCGTTTCAAAACATCTTTTTATGCCTCGTCTCTGTAGTCTTGTCCCTCCCCCTTTCAAAGGTTATCCCTTTTACCCATGCTCTTAAGCTCATTCCCTTTCTTTTAGTTTTTCCTTCCTTCAATTATCCCATCTCTGACTTGTCTTCAAGCTCTCTTTGTCCAGTAAATCCCCCTGTTTTACTTACAAATTTATGAAGAAACTCATTACTTGAAAAATTATCTCTTATAATCTATTGTTCCTTATAGTCAGATCTTGCTTCTGAACTTCTTTCAATGATGGATTTACAGACACACTCACCTGATTGCTCTCATTTCACCTACCTCTTACCCTTTTTTTTTTTTTTTTACTTTTAATTGTAATTTGAGTCAAAGTTTACAGAGCAAATGAGTTTTCCATGCAACAATTTATACACTTTTTTTTTTTTTTTTTGTGAAATTGGTTGCAATTTCTTCAACATAACAATACTTTCCCTATTTCCTCCTTGGATCTCCATTTCCATTTGTTTTTTTCCCACCTCTTCCTAATTTCTGAGCTTTGATTTTGGGTAAATGTGTGCTTTTTGGTCCCTTTTGGTTGATTTTCCAAGGAGTACATTCCTGCCCAGTGTTGTTACGCACTTTATAGATGTGTCTATTGTTTGGCTGAAAGTTGATCCCCAAGAGTGGGTTCAGTTCCAGACTTGAAAGGTATATAAGAGTCATATTTGAGGGTTCCACCAGTCCCTATCAGACCAGTAAGTCTTGTCTTTGTTATGATTTTGAATTTTGTTCTATTCCTCCCAACCCCCATCTAAGATCTTCTATTGTAATCCTCATCAGAGCAATTGGTAGTGGTAGCAGGGCACCATCTAATTCCTCTGATCTCAGGCTAATGCAAACTATAATTTGTATGGTCCATTAGCCTTTGGATTAATTATTTCCTTGAGTTTTTTATTTTCTTCACTC